CTAGGATGAGTGTTGTTCCATTTCAGGCTGTGTCAGGGGAAGACAACATCAGTCAGACTGACTCTCTATAGCTAGGACATGTCTGTAACACCTTGGATCCATTGTCAAGGAGAAGCATCAGTTAGTCCACCTGGCTTGGGTTGGGGCATATCAGTCAGATCCTGGCTCTGTCAGGGGACACCAATCAAATAGCCTGTCTCTTGCTGTTGAAACATATTAGTTATACTGTAGCTGCACTGAGGTGGGGACAGAAGCCAGACCACCTGTGGCTGGCTGGGACATATGTCAGTCAGATCCTGACTCCTTCAGGGGCGGAAACACCAGTTAGTGCTCCTATTTCTGGCTGGGTGGGACATTTATCAATGGGACCCTGACTATAGAGGGCAGCCACCCATGTTTGGCTGGGATACTGCCAACTGAGGGTCTGTCACACTCACCTGGTGCTGCCGATACAGCAAGGGGGCGGTGAATAAACCAATTACTCCTGTGGGCACAAAGATGGTGATCAAGGTTCTCCCAAGAGATTAACAATTTCATTTAGAGCCCTGTCCCCACCAACCCCAATGACCCAACCTCCCACAGTCTTCCCAGCTCACCCAGAATGAGAAGAGTCAAACCATTGAAGACGGCACCCACGAAGGTCAAGATGTAGAAGAGAAGGGCCAGCTGGGGGTGAGGGTCAGGGTCAGCAGAGCCTACAGGGCATTCCCCAGGCTGTGAACTTACCCAGAAATGACCCTCCTACCCCCAGGGGCAGGAAGGTGAATGTTGGGAACCCAGGAAGGAGTGGGGGGTTCAGGGCACCTTGAGAGAGTCTATGAGGTCTTCTACCAGGAAGAAATGCCGCAACTGGGTAGCTGCAGAGACCACTTGAGAGGCAATCTGCTGGGACAAACGTTCTGTCTGCTCCCGAGTCAGGGTCAGGTCCACGTCCAAGTAGGCCCTGAGAGGACAAAAAGGAATAAGGTGACTCAGTGGGTGGATGGGGCCCAGGCTGAGGAGTATGGCTGGGATGAGGGAAAGAAATGAGGTTTGGGGAGAAGGCCAGGTGTAGAGAGCTAAGGTCAGGTCAGGGTCAGGAGATGGGATCAAGGATTAAGGATAAGAGGTTAGGATCAGAGGTTAGGACTGGAGGTGAAGGGTCAGAGAGTAATTTAAAGTCGGGTCGGGGTCAGGTTGGAGTCAGAAAGAGGAATAGGATGGGTCAGGGCCAGGGTCATGACTTAGGGTCAGTACTGGCGTCTGGACAGAGTCACGGTTAGGGGCCTGGGTTCTCACTGAAAGGGGTTGGCACCGTCCCCCCGGTGCACGGCATGCAGCATTTTTCGGTAAACCCTGAGAGAGATGGTGCCACAGAGCAGCAACAGGGCGACATGGGCTGCCACAGACACGATGCTAAAGTGCAGGAGGCACAGCAGGGAGACCATGAGGCCTGTGAAGACCACTCCTGATGTCCTCGTGTCCTTCCAGTACAGCAGGTCCACCACTGTGGAGGAGGCAGGCAATCAGGCTGGGGTTTGGACCTGGCCTGGCTGACCTCTTGACCTCCCATTTCCTGTGTCAGGGCTGAACCATGACCCCTCGACACACCTGTCTCAGCCTTAACCCGATTTCCAAAATTGTAGTGTCTTCTTTTATTCCATGTTTGCCTCCCCTCTTCTCTTCTTAGAAAACTCAAGTTAAGCATCTAGCAAGTCCCCTTAGTCTTACTCCTACCCATAGGTTATATGTGGACACAATTTTGGTCATTATTTATGAAAAATGGAATCATAGATAGACTCTTCTACATCACACATATCTCACTCTACTTTCCCTCCTAGAATTCCCTGCTAGTCATCTGGAATAGTTCTTAACTAAATCTTTTTAAGGGCACCATGATATTCTGTAGTGTGGCTACACCATCATTTTATTCAATTGTGTATCTATTGTTGGGCCATTCACTTTGTTTCCTACCCTCCTATCCCCAATAGTGCCACAAGCACCAGCCTTCTACATATATTCTTACCTCCTGGAGGTTCTATTTCTGAGATAGAATCCCAGGGGTGGAATGGATGGGTAGAATGGATGGATGGAATGTCATAAATATTCCCAGATTGCTTACTAGCAAGACTGTAACAATTCTTATTTCCATGTGCAAAGTGAAAGTGATCTTTTCCCAGCATCCTGCCCAGCAATTTGGTGTTATTGCTCATTTTATTTTTGGCCAATCTGACAGGTGTGAAGTGGTATCTCCTTGATACCCCTACCAACACATTTTTCTCCATCCTAAATATATTAATAACCCCATCTTCCTCCCTAAGCCCTAATTCAAATTTCTAATCCTTTTCTGAGACCCTAAACTCACCTCTCAAGCCCAACCTGAGCCCTGACCAGCATTTCATCTCATCCATTTAAACTTCAATAGCCCTCCCAATAATTTGATCTCATTTGAACCCTGAACCAGGAGCCCAGTAGTACCTTTCCATTTCTTTCCAAACCCTCTCCAAACTCTCACCCTCACTCCAATCAACCTCTAACCCATCCGGACCGGTCCCTTCGGAGTCTGACTCCCCTCACTTCTGTATCTTCCTTATACACATCTTCCTATCTACGTCTAACTAGGGCAGGCCTCCTCCCCTCCACCCCAAGGCGCAGAGCCCTTCCCTGCAGGCTCCCCGAGGCCCGCGCCAGAGGGTGGGGGAGGGGCCGGGTCGCCTGAGGCGGGGGCTAAGTTTAGGCACGCGGGGGGGAGGGGGCCTCGCCTGCAGCTGTGCTGGCGCGTCCTGCTCCTGAGTGACAGCACCGCCTGGGCCTGAGGATGGGGGATGGGGCCTCCCTGCTCTTAGGCCCCAAAGCCCCATCTCGGGGGGAGAGGGCACCCCACACTCCCTCCACGCCCTCCCTAGACACCCCCAAAGCCCCCAGCCCCAGCCTGCAGCTCTAGGGAATTTGGGACCAATAGGAAACATCCCCCCACAGAGAGGTAACGAATCTGGATCCCTTTCCGCTGTCCCCCAGCTCCCGTCACAGCCCGCCCCGCAATCCCACCTTTACTCCCCATCTCTGCTCCGAGTGAGAGGCTGCGGACACCGCTGCTTCTCGGGGATTTCGCCCACTTCAGTGGAACCAGAGGGAGGGAGTAGCGGGGCGGGGCCCCTCTGTACCCAGCCAATGGCTCGCCATAGAGGTGGGGACACTTTCAAAAAGGGGTGGCTCTCTTTGTAAACAGTAAAAGCAGTGATGTCTATAACCAACCCTTGGCCGTTCTTCGTGGAAGGTGAGCGTATTTTACAGTAAGGCGGGGTCTATTTGCCACTGGTTAACTGATGCGGTCAGGGAACAGGAGAGCTTTTAAACACCGTAGAGTTAACTTACAAATGTCCCANCAACGTCCTCCACAACTAGATTGAAGAACAAAAGGACAGCAACTTGTCTGTTCCCCTTCCCCCAATTCCCCAATAAAAAAAAAAAAAAAGGTCAGTTTAGGGTTAAGAGCATGGACAGCTGAGTGGCAAGAGATGGGAAAGGTTCCTCCTTGAGCGCCACTTAGGTGCTTTTCGGTGAAGGAAGGTGAAAGCTGGAGGGGGCTGGAAGCACAGGAAGCTTTGGGTTTTTCACAGAAGTCTTTATTACAGTGTAAATCCAAGCTCAGGCCTCCCCTGGGCCCCATGCAAAGCCCCAGCATTGGGGCTAGTGGCGACGGGAGACACCAACCCCTCACAGCGCCTCCAGCGGCGGGGTCACGTAAGTACAGGGCGGGTGCCCTAGCTAGGGCACTAACTACAAGCCCCAGCAGGCTGCGCGGCCAAGGTGCCTCGCCTTTCCTGGACTCCTAGAGCAGAGCCTCATGGGAAATGTAGTCCTGGCCACTCAGGCAATTTGCGCAAACTCCCTGGTGTGAGTGATCCTGACACCCGCCAGGAAATGGCTCAGGCCGAGGAGGGAAGAGGGAGGGGATGGAAGGGAGATGGCGGAAGGCAGAGGGGCTGCAGGGGTGGGGGCAGGCGTCCCGCAGGTAGAGACACCCTTTTCATTCAGCTTTGGCTTTGGATCCGGAGACTGCGGCTGCTGCTGAGGCAAGGGCTCCGGTCCCTGGGATCTTAGCTCGGATCCTGAGGAAGAAACAGGTGGAGTCAGGAGGTGGGACAAGAGACGGGGCAGGTATCTGAAAACTGAAGGGAAAGCTAGATGGAGGAACTAGCTGAGTGCCCAAAGCCAGCCCTTGCCCTCCACCTAATGGCCTGCGTTGGAATTGTTTGGCACCCTTCTTTGAGAAGGGGGCGTTCAGCCCCAGGATATTTAGGGACAGGGAATGGGGGGGTAGTTTCCAAGTTCCCCCCTTCCTCATCGCATCCACTGCAACACTATGCCCTTACTTAGCTTTGATGTGGCTCAACTGATTGGTCACCAATCCCACATACTGGTCGATCTGGGCCTGGGGAGACCAAGAAGGGGTGAAAGGAGAGATTAGAGGAGGTTCCTCTACCTAATTCATTCAAGAGGCTGCTTCCTCCCCAACCTCCAAATCAGGAGTTGTGGGGAGTAGCCCACCACTCAACTTTCAACTTTAAACCTAATAAAATACCCTTGGAACTCAGAAATTGAAGTTGAAGTCAGTCGGTTGGGCCACGCTCTGTGGAGTGATGTCAGACACAGAAGAATTTGTTGCTAGTGAGTCTGTGTCCTGGGCATGACTGTTAATCTTTGAGTGAAGTGTGTGTGTGTGTGTGTGTGTGTGTGTTTAGGGGTATAGTGAGGGTGGAGGGCATTGGTGTTGGCTGTCATTGATTTAAATATTAGTTTAATTCACAGTGTTAGTTGACTTTGAGGTCTTGGTGATTCCAGCATGTGAGGGAGTTAGGACTATTTCTTTGGCAGGGACATGTATCATTTGGCTCTCAGCCTTACTGGAAAAGGGAATGTCAGTCTATCTGTCTGTCTCTGGATAGGATATGTGTCACTTGACCTTGGTTTGTCAGTGTTTTGGACAACAATCATCTACCTGATTTTGACTGAGAAGCCAGTCTCTGGCAATTTCAGGGAGTGAGAACATCAGTCAGTTCACTTGTTTGGCTGGGATGGCGTCCATCAGACCCAGACTATGTGTAAGGATAGAAGGCATCAGTCTGCCCATATGTCTGTTTGTAACAGGAATATGTGTTTATCAATCTCTGGTGGTATCAGGTGGAGAAGGTATTCATCTGTCTGCCTGTTTCTGGCTAGGATGAGTGTTGTTCCATTTCAGGCTGTGTCAGGGGAAGACAACATCAGTCAGACTGACTCTCTATAGCTAGGACATGTCTGTAACACCTTGNGCGATGCACCCAGAGGCCGCAAGGGGGTGCGGCAGCATCTTGGGGCCTGCGCTTCGGGGTGAGCGCAGCGCAGGGCTGGCGCATACACATGGAGGACGAGCATTGCGCTTAGCTCGCGCTACCTGGGCTGCCCTCCGGATGGGCTTTCTTCGCTGTCCTCGACTGCCACGGCGGGGCACAAGCCTCCCTCTTCGGCGCGCGCCACCTGCCAGGCCACGTGTTGGAGGCGTAGGGCCCAGCTCCTGGTGAGCCGGAGGGCGTGGGCCGGGCGCTTCGCCCCGCCTTAATGAGTGCAGACGCACGCCTCTGCTCGCTCTGGCCCCACGGCGAGCCGGGAGGCTCCACCGCCATGGCATTGCTCATCTCCCCGAGCTTTCTGTACCTGGCGCACTGCGGTGACTCCCGCGCGGTGCTGAGCCGCGCGGGCGCCGTGGCCTTCAGCACCGAGGACTATCGTCCCCTCCGGCCTCCGGAACGCGAGCGCATCCATGACTCGGGCGGCACCACCTGCCGCCGGCGCCTCCAGGGCTCTCTGGCAGTGTCGAGAGAACTGAGAAGCTGCTTACAAGGAGGTTCCTGGAAGGCCCCCTGAGCTGCAGCTCGTTTCCGCGGAGCCTGAGGTGACCGTCCTAGAACGGCGGGCGGAGGATGAGTTCTTGTTCCTGGCCTCGGAAGGCGTGTGGGACGCGATGTCTGGAGAGGCCCTGGCGGGACTCGTGGCATCACGCCTCTGCTTAGGCCTGGCCCCAGAGCCTCTCTGCGCTCAGCTCTTGAACATGTGTCTTTGCAAGGTCTTGGGGGCGGGGCTTGGGATCACTGAGGGGATGAACCTAAGGGATTTAGGGCGGAGGGATTTTAATGGAAAGGATTCAAGGGAACTGGAGGAGAGGGTGGGGCTCCACTAAAGGGCGTGACCAGATGGGATGGGGGCGTGCCCAAAACATGGAGAGGGCGGAGCCTGATGGATGCCTTGAGGCAAGATGGCGAAGTGGTACCTGAGGTGTTAGGTAAGTGGGAGGGATTTAAGAGAAAGGGCGTGATCTTTTGGGATTGGTCGGCGTTGGGACACAGGAGTGGGTCCGGAGATATAATTAGTACCAGAAACAGGAGCAGCTTAATGGCAGAGTGGGAGGGGCTTTGGAGAAGGGGCGTAGTTCTCTGATAGGGCAGGGGGAGAACAGTAAGGGGGCGTCATCTAAGGGATTGGTCCTAGTGAGAGGGCTTGGTTTAGACTGGCAGATGGGCAGGACTTCGGAGAAATGGACAAAACCCAATTGGGGAAGGGGGCAAAAGAACAGATTGCTTATCGGGGAGCTCTGCTTCCAAGGGCATGGAGCCCTCTGCTGGGGCATTCAACCAGGCTGTCCTTTCTCCACCTTCTCTAGGGCAGCCTGGATAACATGATCTGCATTCTGGTCTGCTTCACCGGGGTCCCAAGGCCTTGTGAGGAGGCAATCAGGAAGGAGCTAGCACTGGACACAGCTCTGGGCCGCAGGGTCACCAGTGGGCAAGCTCTAGGAGCGCAGCGGGACGGGTGGTCGGCAAGCAGGGGTACCCAAATAACCCTTGCCTCCTTGTCAGAGCTGTGTTCCTCTGTCCAGGAACCCCCAGCTTGAACAGGGTTTTCTAGACTCTGGCCTCAGAGGACATCCCAGATTTACCTCCTGGGGGAGGTCTGTACTGCAAGTGAGTCAGAGTGGGATGGGGTAGAATGGGAAGAGGAGTGGCAGGAGGAGGGTCCCCTCCTAAGGGCCCCCCTCTGTTCTCCAGGGCCTCTGTCATCGCCGAAGTTTATTCTCAGCTCTGCCAGGTCTCAGGGAAGCACTGGGAGGTAAGGACCCTGTGTTCTTCAATGTTTCTCTTAGAAACATGTAACCAGCACCCCCCCCCCAACTCCTTTAGTGATGGGGAAATTGAGACCAGAGGGAACAAGGGATTTGGCTAGTATATGAAAATAAATTCTCACTCCTGGCCTGAAGCATTGTTGGTGGGGAAGCAGAAGCAGAGACAGTGCTTCCCCTTCAAGAAATGTGCCCCCAGCAATGCTCTGTAAAGCCCCATCGTTCCAAGCACCACCTCCTCCATCCAGAGGCAAGGCAGAAAAATTCAAGGAATGTTGCTAGCCAATCCCCAGGCCTGGATACACTGCAGAGACTAGGTCATCTCTGATGATGGTCTGGGTCTTGGAGAGAGGTTCTGAATTGGGCCCAGATAGTTTGGGGGATTAGAGATGTCAAAAGACCTGGTGGGTGGGGCATAAGGAAGGTGTGTAGGGTGGGACTCGGGGAAAATGGAAAGGAGAAAGCTGGGGCCAGAACCCAAAGGCCTTTGCATAGCAGAGAAGAGTTTGGTTATTCCCACTTGAAGCGGGGTTGTTGATAGTTCTCAGCAGCAGAAGGAGGTATTTGTCAGGATTGTTTTGGGTTGTGAATGATGGAAACCCAATTCAACCTGGGAAAAGAAAACAGAATTTACTGGGCCATGTTAATTGAAGAGTTCAGAGATTTAAGGCATGACTACATCCAGTTGTCAGATGATGTCATCAGGAACCATCTCTTAGTTTTATTTCCTCTGAGTTGGCTTCGTTCCCAGGCAGGGTCTCTTCATGAGGTAGCAGAGAGTTCCAGTTTCAGCCTCACATCACCCAAGCCTAACATCCTCAGTGGAGAGAAGGTACCAGTTCCCCAGTAGTTACAGCAGTGGTTTCAGAGCCGGTTCTCCTTGGCCACACTGGGTCACACGGCTGCCCAAGTCACTGTTGTCTCTGATTGGCCAGGCTATGGTCACATGTCCATCCTCGCTTAGGGTTGGGGGTCTACTGCATCCAAACCTGATGGATTGAGAGATGGGGAATGGGGTCCCTCAAAGAAAACTAGGAGTGGTGCTTTCAGAATATAGGGGAATAGATACTGAGAAGAAAGTAATATACCAACTCATACATTTTTGTGTTACAGAATGGGCAGAATGGGGCTGGGAAGGCCACTGGCACTCATTCAAGCTCTGCCTTGGACTTGGAGGCCTGACAGCTGTTGTCCTTTGGGGACCCTCTGCCCAACTGGGGCCCCAACAGAATTAAGAAAACTCTCTTTCCCCAGCTACACAGACCAGCGGAAGGAAGACGAGCTGATGGAGGAAACCCAGAATGCTTATTTCCTCTTCTCCTACTTCCCCGTCACAGAAAGTCTTATGAGGGGAAGTTCCACCCACCAGCTACGGTATGGGGGGGGGGAGGGGAGAAAAAAACCAAACCATGGACCTTGGAGTTCCAGCGGTTCAATAACCTTCTCTCCCCTCTCTATTTTTCATCTGTTTTGGGGGCAGGTGGAGGAGAATTTTTATTATTAAATGTTAATTACATGATTCAAAATACATTTTTCTTATAGAAAAAAAACTCCACATTATTTTCCCAGTCATTTGGCAAATATATATTGGGCACCTGTTCATGGCCATCAACCAGGGGGACTCACTGAGATCCGTGCCTATTCTAGGGGCCCACCTAGTGTGTGTGTGTGGAAAGACAGCAAACAAGAGAACCAATAAGTAAGGTCATTTCAGACACTGACAAGTGTCTCAAGGGGATGTGATAAGCAAATCTACTTTGGTTTTTAAAAAATTGTTGTTCATTTATTTTTTGAGTGGTAATAAGTTCAGTTGGTTCAAAATTCAAAGAGTACGAAATGGTGTATAATGAGGTCTTTCTCCATCCCCTGTCCCTCGACCACTTGATTTTCCACCTGGGGATGGATGCTTTAGACAAGGGGATCAGGGAAGATCTCTGAGGAGGGGACAATTGAGCAGAGACGTGACAGAGAAGCAGCCAGCCATGCAAATACCCGAGAGAAGAGTGTCTCAAGACAGAAGGAACAGCCAGTGCAAAAGCCTAGAGACAGGATCGAACTTGGCATTTTCAAGATGAGACTTAAGATCTCTGACCATCGAATTTCCCACAATCCCATTCCCTATCTTATTGGTAACCACTGCAAAGAGGTTGGAGTGGATTTTTCCAGAACTTTTACTCTGCATGTACACCCAAGGTGTTTCCTTGATTTTTTTTCATACCCTACTTATCATTTGGCTTTTTTTTTTTAAGATTTTTTTATTGGGGTATTGGGGGTAAGGGAACAGTGCTGGGGAATTGGGGGAAGGGGAACAGACAAGTTGCTGTCGTTTTGTTCTTCAGTCTAGTTGTGGAGGATGCTGCTTCACTGNACAGTAAGGCGGGGTCTATTTGCCACTGGTTAACTGATGCGGTCAGGGAACAGGAGAGCTTTTAAACACCGTAGAGTTAACTTACAAATGTCCCATGGCCACATCCAGAAGAGAGCCTTATTTCTTCAGGGATTTGGCCTATCCAAAATCAGCCTCTAGGGGGAGGACTCCAAAAGAGGAATTATTATTTTTTTTTAGCAATCAGCCAATCCTAAAGCTCGCAGGGGGGCTAACTTCTCAAGTGCGGAAGGAGGGGGGTAGGGGGAAGACAACTAGTACATAAAAAGAGCCAAGGGCAATCTTAGATTATGGGGAACATTTTTAAAAGGAGTTTATAATGTCTAGCGAACAGCAATACCTCCTCCCTTCTCCATTCTCCTTGTTCCTTGGCGAGGTTGGTTGGTCCCTTTAAACTGCAATACTCCCACCCTCGCTGTGGTCCAAAGGAGCATCTTCACTCAAGCAGTTTACCTAGAAGGTGTGGTTCCAATGTGAATTCTGATTGGTCCGTGCTATCGAGGCACTGCCCTGTGATTGGCTCCCGTTCCAGCTGCCCCCACGGCTGTTCCTCTTTCTCGTCCAGCGAGGGCTCATCAGGCCAAGAGTTTGAATCCCGGGATTCAGATGGGGTACGATCCTGGGGGGTCCCAAAGCCAGTAGTAGGCTGTGCAGTCAAGACTTCGGGCGGGGAGGGCTGAGCGAGTCCGAGTTGTAGGTCCAGTTCTGGCGCGTTAGAAAGATAAGGCAGTGAGATATCACCTTGGAGATGCCCTGAGAAGAGACCACCCACCCCTGGTGGCTTTGGTCCCAGCACCTCGGACATCTCACCTTTCCCTGTCTCTGATCCGTTGAGCTCCTCGTCTTCCAGCGGGGTGGAACTACTGGTGGCGGAGTCCTCCTGGTACCCGGCTCCCTGGGCCTTCCAGCCCAGCTGGTCTAACTGGAACCCCAGGTCCTCCAGAGGGCGCTCGGCCGGAGGGGCAGTGTCAGCGTCACCGCGGCGCCCGGGTTCCGGGGACTGGCTCAAGCTGGGGATGCTCTCCAAGCTGTCGCCCAGGCCAGGTTGTGGGGGCGGGTCTCGCGGTTCGGAGACTGAGCGGCCCTGGGGCCGGGGGCGGCGTGCAGCTGAATCCCGGCGCGCCCCGGCACCTGCCACGCCGTCAAAGGCGATGTACGAGAAGGTCAGCTCCCGGGGGGTGTCCCAGTCCTGGGACGTGGTCTCTTCCTCATCGTCCTCCGAGAATTCCCGGGCTGTGTGCAGCTCCCGAAAATCCGAGTCGTCGTTCCCTCCTTCATTGAGCAAAGGTGGGCGTTAGCTCCTCCAAGTAGGACCCTGACCCACTCTCCTCAAATCTCCTACCCAGCTTTGAGTTCCCTTCAAGTCTCACCCTCACATCCTTCCCCTCCACTTACCTTCCGTGGAGTCAGGGGTAGAGGAGGCTGTAGACGGAGCTTCTTCTGCGAGAGGGAAAGAATCGAAGATTCTTAGAAGCTTAGACTGTCGGAGTCATTGAAGTGTGCCGGTCCTGGGAACTTGGATGGTCCGAATTAAGGAATCTTAGAATGTCACTGCTCAGTCTTAGAAGTTCAAATCCAGGAACCTTAATCTTAGACTCTTCAAATTAGGAATTTTTAGGTTTCAAGTCATTCTTTTAACAACCATTTATCGTGCCTATGTACCAGGCACTGTTTTAGACCCCGAGGATACAACTGCGAACAAAACAGACAAAAATCCCTGCCCTCATAACACTCTATGAGGGAGACAGACAATAAACAAATATATGATGTTGGGTGCTAAGTGTATGAAGAAACATCAGGGTAAGGGAGGAGAAAGTGAGAGGGTGCTATTTCAGACACGGTGGTCAGAAAGACTTCTATGATAAGATGATATTTGAGAAGAGACCTGAATGAAGTGAGAAATCCATGTAGATATCTAAGGAAGAGTCTTCCAGGCAGACGAAAAAACTCAGTGTAAAGGCCCTGAGGGAGGCACTGTTTGGCACATTTGAGGAACAGAGAGGTGTGAAGGTTTGACTGGAGCTGAGTGACTGAGGGAAAAGGATGGGAGATGAGGGAAGAGAGATAAGGTGTGGGGGGATCATGTCGGACCATCCTTTGTAAGCAGAGGTAAGGACAATATCTTAGAATGTTGCGATGATACTCTAAAATGTTGAAATAACAAATTCTTAGAATTTTGGCATCTAGACTCCCCAGATATGCAAGTGGCTAGATCTGAAAGTGCTGAAATCCTCAGCTGTCAGAACCATGGGCGTGTGGGACAGAGAATGTTAGGCAAGGATTGTTAGAACGTTGGGCTCAGAGATCACGAGGATTAGACACGGCATTCCCAATTGTGGAATCTAGCCCCTCAGAGCTCTAGCTAGGGGCTTTGCCTACAGGAGATGCTCAAAACCGTTTGGAAATTGAAATCGGATGCCCTACACCCCTATCTCATTTCCTCAGCTGGAGAATCGGAGGCTGAGAGTCAGAGGCCCTGAACAGAGTGGGTCTCCTCCAGGATTACTAATAATCAGTGGTAAAGCCCACTAAGGACCCAGGAGTCCTGGCCCCAACCCAGGGGTGGCTGTTTCCCAGAAACAGGAGGTTGGACATTTTGGGCGAGGTCTAGGCTGCCTGTGATTCAGGGCTGAAAACAGAGATGGGATGCGAAGGTGGGTGATGAGGGTGTCAGGCTCCTCTTTTCCACCCTGGCTCTACCCCTCCATTCAACTGCCCTCCCCGCCGGCTGCGGCCAGCACCAGGGCTAGGGGACAGCTCCCCGCGAGTGTCCTCATCCCCGGGCGGGGCCCGTGGCACATCCCAGGGCTCAGCGCGCCCCCACGCCAGATGTCTCCGTGCCCCCCAACTCCGCCCTGTCTCATTCAGGTCCTTCGGGTCAGATCGCCCCCGTCGCCGCTAGAACGCGGGGGGAGGGGAGAGCTTCCTTTGTCTCCTCCGCCTCCTCCCCCATCCTGACTCTCCCACGACTGGACGCGGAGAGGATACCGGGGAGGAGCCTACCCGGGCCTCTGAGACCCACACCAGGCCTGAGTCTCCCCCTACTCACTGCAGTGGGCGAAGACCGGCAGGACCTGCCCCATGGCCCCCCTCGGGCCTGCATCGGGACCCCTGCCCACTCCGGCCACGCCGCCCTGGGCCTGGGGCCGCGGGCACTCATCTCCGCCGCGCCCACGACGCTGCCGCCATCCTCGCCGCCTCCTCCTCCCGGTCCGTTCCAGCAGCAGCCGCCGCCACCGCCCTCTGTTAGGCTCGGAGGGGGCGGGCGGGGCCGCGGTGGGGAAGGCACTGCAGCGCGGAGCTGGGGGCGGGGGCAGAGGAAGGCGGGGCGGAACCTGAGGGAGGGAAGGGGGCGGGGACACACCCTGAGGCTCGCGGTGAGGGGCGTGGCTTTTCTACTAGAGGGGTGGGGCTAGGAGGGTAGGTTAAAGGGTAGGCGAAGGCTTGGAAGGCGGTCTGAAGGAGAAGTGGGGTGGAGCTCACGGTAGGGTGAAGACCTCTGGGAGAGAATGGTGAAGGAACCGAGGCGGACAGGATGGGGGCGTGGATCTCAGAGTGGATTGGGGCGGAGCTAGGGGCGGTATTGAGGAGAGGATGTAAAGATTCTACTACTCTGAGGTAGGATCTGAGCCTAGATTCTCAGAGGGAGTGGAAAAAGGAGCGGGGAGAAAGTACCCCAAAAGTACTGAGACAGGGTTGGCTGAGTGGCACGTTGGTTAAGAGTTGGCTTGGGGAGCGTTGTAGCGACATGAAGCTAATTACCCATAACCTGCTGAGCTCGCATGTGCGAGGGGTGGGACCCCGTGGCTTCCCCCTGCGCCTCCAGGCCACCGAGGTCCGCATCAATAATGTGGACTTCGTGGCGTGTATGATACCCAAGGTTGAGTGGGAGGTGCTTCTGGAAGCGGCTGATCACTTGCATCTGATCGAGGTGCCCAAAGGGCCGATTCAGGGGTATGAGCAAGATGAGACATTTCTGAGGAAGATGCACCATGTGCTGCTGGAGGTGGAAGTGTTGGAGGGCACCCTGCAGTGCCCAGAGTCTGGACGTATGTTCCCCATCAGCCGCGGGATCCCCAACATGCTGCTGAGTTCAGAGAAAACTGAGACTTAATGGAGCCAGACACCGGTTTTTCATTCTGTGATGGTGTGTAGTTTTCTGTATATCCTGTTTGTTTTGTCACACGTATCCCCAGTTCTTGACCCAGTGACACACCACACACATTGTTCTTGAGCTCGATATATTTTTTTCTCATTAAAGGTTCAAAGCCAAAAAATAAATAAATAAATAAAGTTGGTTTGGGACGCCAGCTCTGAGCACCAGGGCCCCGGTTCAGATCCCACATGCGGGCCAGTGACCCTGCGCCCTCTACAGCTAAGATGGTGAACAACAGCTCCACCTGGAGCTGGGCTACCATGAGCTACTGTGAGTGGCTAGCAGCCAGCTTCAGCGGACAGCAGTCAGCCTGAGCTGCCTTGAGCCGCTGTCCAACTGCAGGCAAGCGACTGCATCACCCGGGAAGAGCACAACGATCACAATACCAACATGGGCCAGTGAAGCGAGGTCCTCCACAACTAGACTGAAGAACAAAAAGGACAGCAACTTGTCTACTCCCTTTCCCAGATTCCCCAATGCTGTTCCCCTCCCCCAATTCCTCAATAAAATCTTAAAAAAAAAAAAGTACTGAAACAAGGGTAGGAGCTCAGACATGGGGGGAGCTTAAGCCAATTTAGAATTATGTATCAGGTAGTTGGGCGGAGCCAGTCAGACGAGCTAGAGGCGAGGCCAGACTGCAAATATAGTAAGTTGAGGCTGTAGACTTGAATGGATGGGCGGGATCTGGAAAAGAAGCTACACGGAGCGGGGTGAGACCCGAGGGGAGGGGTTGAGCTAAAAAAATTACGGATTGAAAGATTTTGAAAACGGGGGCAGGACCACTGAAGTGAGCGGAGCTTGGACTGGGCAGGGCTGGGGACTGGAAGCCAAAAGTGTAGGGTTGAGAACATGGATTATAGAGTTCGTGTCCTTGCTTGTTCTGTGACTCAGTTTCTTCTTCAGTAAGTCGGAGATGATGATATAAAATAGTGGTAAATGCTAGTTTGCTACTATTATGAAAAGACTTTGATTCCAAACCTCCCTTTGAAGGTGCAGGATAGAGGAGACCCACGAGTCCAATCTCTTCTAGTGACTTGAGTGCAGGTCCAGGGCATAGGAAGGAGATTTCGGTGGTTTAAAATCTCACAGTAGAGGGGATTAATACAGTAGAGGGACGGGCAGGTACAAATGTGGAGCTTTCCTGATCCTAGGGCCAAGGATGGTGGGCCTTGCCCATCGGCTTGAACGTCTCTCTGGCCAGCTCGTAAGGAAGAGGAGGCGGAGGAGAAAGAGGAGAAAGAGGAGGGCGCAAAGCTCCCCACGGGCCTCGGTCCCTCCCGTACGCACTGCGATGCACCCAGAGGCCGCAAGGGGGTGCGGCAGCATCTTGGGGCCTGCGCTTCGGGGTGAGCGCAGCGCAGGGCTGGCGCATACACATGGAGGACGAGCATTGCGCTTAGCTCGCGCTACCTGGGCTGCCCTCCGGATGGGCTTTCTTCGCTGTCCTCGACTGCCACTGCGGGGCACAAGCCTCCCTCTTCGGCGCGCGCCACCTGCCAGGCCACGTGTTGGAGGCGTAGGGCCCAGCTCCTGGTGAGCCGGAGGGCGTGGGCCGGGCGCTTCGCCCCGCCTTAATGAGTGCAGACGCACGCCTCTGCTCGCTCTGGCCCCACGGCGAGCCGGGAGGCTCCACCGCCATGGCATTGCTCATCTCCCCGAGCTTTCTGTACCTGGCGCACTGCGGTGACTCCCGCGCGGTGCTGAGCCGCGCGGGCGCCGTGGCCTTCAGCACCGAGGACTATCGTCCCCTCCGGCCTCCGGAACGCGAGCGCATCCATGACTCGGGCGGCACCACCTGCCGCCGGCGCCTCCAGGGCTCTCTGGCAGTGTCGAGAGAACTGAGAAGCTGCTTACAAGGAGGTTCCTGGAAGGCCCCCTGAGCTGCAGCTCGTTTCCGCGGAGCCTGAGGTGACCGTCCTAGAACGGCGGGCGGAGGATGAGTTCTTGTTCCTGGCCTCGGAAGGCGTGTGGGACGCGATGTCTGGAGAGGCCCTGGCGGGACTCGTGGCATCACGCCTCTGCTTAGGCCTGGCCCCAGAGCCTCTCTGCGCTCAGCTCTTGAACATGTGTCTTTGCAAGGTCTTGGGGGCGGGGCTTGGGATCACTGAGGGGATGAACCTAAGGGATTTAGGGCGGAGGGATTTTAATGGAAAGGATTCAAGGGAACTGGAGGAGAGGGTGGGGCTCCACTAAAGGGCGTGACCAGATGGGATGGGGGCGTGCCCAAAACATGGAGAGGGCGGAGCCTGATGGATGCCTTGAGGCAAGATGGCGAAGTGGTACCAGAGGTGTTAGGTAAGTGGGAGGGATTTAAGAGAAAGGGCGTGATCTTTTGGGATTGGTCGGCGTTGGGACACAGGAGTGGGTCCGGAGATATAATTAGTACCAGAAACAGGAGCAGCTTAATGGCAGAGTGGGAGGGGCTTTGGAGAAGGGGCGTAGTTCTCTGATAGGGCAGGGGGAGAACAGTAAGGGGGCGTCATCTAAGGGATTGGTCCTAGTGAGAGGGCTTGGTTTAGACTGGCAGATGGGCAGGACTTCGGAGAAATGGACAAAACCCAATTGGGGAAGGGGGCAAAAGAACAGATTGCTTATCGGGGAGCTCTGCTTCCAAGGGCATGGAGCCCTCTGCTGGGGCATTCAACCAGGCTGTCCTTTCTCCACCTTCTCTAGGGCAGCCTGGATAACATGATCTGCATTCTGGTCTGCTTCACCGGGGTCCCAAGGCCTTGTGAGGAGGCAATCAGGAAGGAGCTAGCACTGGACACAGCTCTGGGCCGCAGGGTCACCAGTGGGCAAGCTCTAGGAGCGCAGCGGGACGGGTGGTCGGCAAGCAGGGGTACCCAAATAACCCTTGCCTCCTTGTCAGAGCTGTGTTCCTCTGTCCAGGAACCCCCAGCTTGAACAGGGTTTTCTAGACTCTGGCCTCAGAGGACATCCCAGATTTACCTCCTGGGGGAGGTCTGTACTGCAAGTGAGTCAG